TTTTTAATTTATTTTTCTGCTAATTAGTTGCTACTGTACATACAGATCTGCTATTGATTTCTGTATGTTAATTTCATATCCTGCTATTTACTGAATTCGTTGATTAGATATAAGAGTTTTTCGATGGGAGTCTTTCGAGTTTTCTATATATAGAATCATGATGAAAAAAAACTGCAGACAACACAAATATATGAAAAGATATCCCATGTTCATGGATTGGAAGAATTAATGTTGTTAAATGTCCACAACTACCTAAAGCCATCTATAGATTCAATGCAATCCCTATCAAGATTCCAATGGCATTTTCACAGAAATAGAGCAATCCTATAATTTGTATGGAACCACAAAAATCCCAAATACCCAAAGCAATCCTGAGAAAGAACAACAAAGTGGGAGACATCACACATGCTGATTTCAAGCTACACAATAAAGCTATACCAATCAAGTAAAAACAAACATATAGACCAATGGAACAGAATACAAAGCCTAAAAAATAAACCCATGTATACACAGTCAACTAAAATTTGATAAGGGAGCAAGGATACCCAAAGAAGAAAAGACAGTATCTTCAATAAATGGTGCTGGGAAAATTGGATATTTACATGTAAAACAATGAAACTAGACCTCTATTCTTATAATACTCACAAAAATTAACTCAAAGTGGATTAAAAACTTAACCCATAAAACCACAAAACTTAAGAAGAAAACAGAGGAAAAAAGTGGCTTGACATGGGTGTTGGCAATAATTTTTTTTGGATATGACACTTAACCCACAAGGAATAAAAAAACAAGTGGGACTAAAAAAAACTAAAAGCTTCTGCACAGCAAAAGAAATAATCAAAATAAAAAGGCAGCCTACAGAATAAGAGAAAATGTTTGCAAATCACATACCTGATAAGCAGTTAATATATAAAATATTCAAAGGAATTTGTACAACTCAATAACAAAACACACGCGAAATAATCCAATTTTTAAAATGGGCAAAGAACCTGAATAGACATTTTTTTAAGGAAGATATTTAAATGATCAACAGGTATAAGAAAAAGTGTTCAACATCACTAATCTTTATGAAAATGCAAATCAAACCACAATGAGGTATCACCTCACACTTGTTAGAATGACTATTATCACAAAGCCAAGAGATAACAAATTCCTGTTAAGATATGGAGAAAAAGAAACTCTTGTGCACTGCTGGTGGGAATGTGAGTCGGTTCAGTCACTACAGAAAACAGTACAGTGGTTCCTCAAAAAATTAAAAATGGAACTACTGTATGATCCAGCAATTCCACTGCTGAATATATATCTGAAGGAAATGAAATCACTATGTTGAAGAGGTCTGCACCCCCATGTTCATTGCATCATTATTTACAATAGGCAAAACATGAAAACAACCTGAGTCCACTGACAGATGAGTAAAGAAAATGTGGTGTGTGTGTATGTGTGTATGTGTGTGTGTTGTATACATACACACATACACACACAGGAGTATTATTCAGCCACTGTAAAGAAGGGACTCTTGTCATTTGTGACAACATAGGTGGACCTTGAGGGGATTATGTTAAGTTAAATAAGTCAGACAGTGAAAGACACTGTATGATCTCACTTATATGTGGAATTCTGAAAAACAACAACAACAACAAAAACAACACAAGCTCACAGAGAAAAAGATCAGAATTGTGGTAACCAGAGGTGGCAACGGGGGGTGGAACTGGAGGAAAGTGGTCAAAGAGTACAAATTTCAGTTATAAGATAAGTAAGTAATGGACATGTAATGTACAACATAAGGAGGATGATGGTTAATTAACACTGCTGCATGGTATATCTGAAAACTGGTAAGAGAGTAGATCCTAAAAGATCTTATCACAAGGAAAAAAACCTTTTTTTTTTTTTCTTTTTTTCTTGGTATCTCCATGAGGTGATGATGGTCATTTCACAATATATGTAAGTCAAGACATTACGCTATACACCTTAAACAGTGCTTTATATCATTTATATTTTCATAAAACTAAAAGAAAAAAACACAATAAATGTAAAAGTAAAAAAAAATTATTACTACTAAAATGCAGACCAACATTCTACTTTTAAAAAGGAATGGGATGGGGCGCCTGGGTGGCGCAGTCGGTTAAGCGTCCGACTTCAGCCAGGTCACGATCTCGCGGTCCGTGAGTTCGAGCCCCGCATCAGGCTCTGGGCTGATGGCTCAGAGCCTGGAGCCTGTTTCCGATTCTGTGTCTCCCTCTCTCTCTGCTCCTCCCCCGTTCATGCTCTGTCTCTCTCTGTCCCAAAAATAAATAAACGTTGAAAAAAAAAAATAAAAAATAAATAAATAAATAAAAGGAATGGGGGGGGGGAGGGTGCCTGGGTGGCTCAGTCGGTTAAGCGTCTGCTCAGGTCATGATCTCGTGGTTTGTGAGCACAAGCCCTGCGTCGGGCTCTGTGCTGACAGCTCGGAGCCCGGAGCCTGCTTCGGATTCTGTGCCCCTCCCCCACTTGTGCCCTGTCTCTATCAAAAATAAATAAAATGTAAAAAAATTTTTTTTAATTGTTTAAAAAAAAGTAATGGGGGATGGGTGACACAACATGAACAAGTGATAGAACTAACCACACAAAGTAGACACCTTCATGCATTCTTGCCAAATACATCTACACACATATAAAAGAATTCAATGCCAAACAGAAAGTGGAAAAAACAACGTCAAGTTTTGTTTGAAAGTATAGAAGCAAAACAATAATAAAAACTCAGACCCTAGTATATCAACTGTACAAAAAATGTATATGGTCAATTTACAACAGAGAAAGTAAGAGGCTAACAATTCCCTCCCACAGGGACGGGGAGGGGGGGAGCCTCAGGATATTCTCACCAAGAAAACAAAACAAAACAAAACCATCTGATCCCCTGTATCACCCGCTTGCCTCATCCCAGGCAATGTCAGCTCCACAAAATGTCCTTCCCCACACCTCATGACTAGTCTTGATCCTTTTCTGCTTTCTTTTCTGCTTTTCTTTGACATAAAATTTGTCTCCTTTTGACATTACTTCCACTTTACTTCTTGGGCCCTCATCATACATCCTCCTAACACAGGACACACAACAGTGCCCAGCACATAGTAGGCCCTCAGTAGGGTTGGGGACATGGCTTTCTGTAATTACATGGCATTAACTTCAAAAACAAGGACATTCAAATCCCTCCAACTGTCTTCCTTTCCTGTTCTTTCCAGAGACTATTAAACCACCACCATTTTCTTTTGAGGCTTTAACACACCCACTCTGGGCATAAGACCTTCTGAGTTATTTTGTGTTATAAACATAACATAATATATATGGTGAATAAGTATCAATAAACTCACCATGTTACATCCATCCCAGTAGACTCTGTCACATCCTTATGCTCCTCCCTCTACTCCTATGCTTAAGACAGGACTCTCCTCCCCAGCCTTCCCTCCCCTACTTCCTTTTCCTAGACACTGACAGAGCAATTATTTCCAACCACTCTGTCTCTACTGGGTCCTCCCCATTATTTTCTAAATAGGCCTCACCTTTCATCTGATGTCTCTTTGGACCCAAGATCCCTTTCAAGCCACTAGCAGCTAATCTCCACATTTGACCTCTCACCTCAATTCCCCATCCTAGAAGTCACAGCACTGTCCCCACTCCTATGCCATTGGGTTCTCAATATGCATCACATCCTCTGCCTCATTATTTAAACATTTCCTAAACATATCCAAAACCTGTGCTTTTCATTGCCACGTTTACTCCTTCTACCGAAACTCCTTTTTCCTTGAATCTCTCTACTAAGTTTACTTTTGTGGCACTGCTTCCCACAAGTTCTCACTTTCATTGAAATTTTACTTTCATTGTTTTGTTCTAATTTATTTTTTTTTTTTAATTTTTTTTTTTAACGTTTATTTATTTTTGGGACAGAGAGAGACAGAGCATGAACGGGGGAGGGGCAGAGAGAGAGGGAGACACAGAATCGGAAACAGGCTCCAGGCTCTGAGCCATCAGCCCAGAGCCTGACGTGGGACTCGAACTCACGGACCGCGAGATCGTGACCTGGCTGAAGTCGGACGCTTAACCGACTGCGCCACCCAGGCGCCCCGTGTTTTGTTCTAATTTAAAACACAAAGAGACCATGTATTACACACGGTTGGTATATGGCTCTCATAAGGCACATCCTGAGCCCCTTTCCATGCCCTGCTCCACCCACTATGGCCTGGCCTTTGTGGTTCTCCATACACATACCAGTTGGTTTCTTATCTGCATCTTTGCTCTCTTGTACATCTTTGCATTTGCAAGTGTTCCTTTGGATAATCTCTGTAACTGTACTTGTAAAAGTAATTTGAATATATTTATTTCTGTTTTCCTCTTTATAACTTTTTCAAAAACAGAAATAGTCATTTACTTGTCTTAATTGTCTAAGTATCTGGAACACTGATGCTCAATAAAATTTGATAAACTCTAACAACCCATCCCACTAAGGAAAGTAGTCATGTAAGCTGTTAGGACTGAAACAGTAAATGCTTGACTTAGATAAACAGTTCCCTAACTCATCTCCAGAAATTAGAACTTCTATAATTGCTTACTGAACTTAGAGTTCTATTCTGCCAATTTTCCTCTCCAAGTAAACAAGTTAAGTATTTTTAAGTTAACCTTTTAGGTATTTGGATTTTTAAAAATTTTATTTATTTATTTTGAGAGAAAGAGGGAGACAGCGAGAGAGCAAGAGAGGGAGAGGGAGAGGGAGAGAGAGAGAGAGAGAGAGAGAGAGAGCGAGCGAGCAGGGGAGGGGCAGAGAGAGAAGGGAAGAGAGAGAGAATCCCAAACAGGCTCTGCACTACCAGCACGGAGCCCGATGCAGGGATCAAGCCCATGAACCAAGACCTCAGCTGAAACCAAGAGCTGGACCTTAACCAACCAAGCTACCCAAGTGCCCCAGGGATTAGATTTTTAAAGAAATATAACAACTTTCTAAACAAGTATTTAAAGAGATGTAATTTAACCTTAGAAGCTTCATCTTTGCTGATGGTCCTGGAGTCCTGGGAAACGTCTGCTTCTGGGGCATGTACAAAATGGTCTCTGCAGATTTCACCTTCCGCCTTATTGGTCTCTCCATCACCTCTCTAACATCAGTTCCAAAATCCATGTGGTTTTTGGGAGAGGATTCTGAATCAATGAACAAGGCATTCTCTGAGTCATCTTCCTTTTCACTATCTGATGAGTATTCCAAAATTTCTGTAGAACTTCTCTGAAAAAAAATTAACAGAAATGCAATTACATTTGGAGAAGTCTTTATTCAAGTCCATATTTACATACACCTGTTATTCCATTCTCTTCTGTTTATATTCATTGATATAACTTTGTAAATACAGTTATTTGTAGGTTAAACTTTTATTTTGACATGAGTTCCAAAGTAAAAAAAGCCATATACACAAAGACAAGAGAGTGTTAAGCCAGTTGTAAGCCAGATATTATCTCATAAAATCCACCAAATTCAGTGCAAGTATTTCAATCTTCCTTTGGTAAACTAAAAGAAATGTGCCCCATATACAGTGAGTCTCAAAAACTGAACTAGTAAATGGCTGATGATAGTCACTGTAATCTAACATCTACTGGAATAAAGTATTTTTTGGATTTTGAAATTTAATATGAGATAAATAATGCTATTTGTAACAAACCAAATACAAAGAAAATTGCCTCTTCAGGTGTAAGCTTACCAAAGGACTCTCCAAGGATAAAGACAAAAACTTGACTTTTCCAGCACAATTCCATTATAATATTTTCAAGAGATGAGTTTGAAATGGCTAATAACAACTGTACTTTTTAAGAATATGAGTTATTGCCACTTTTTCCTACCATTTCCTAAAATGTTTTTTATTTTCTCCTACTCAGAATTCTAATTACATTTTTTTTTGAAAACTGGATTATAAAAAAAAAAAAATGCTTTTGCAGTGTCTCCCCACCCCTCCCCACCCCCCGCCAAAAGAAAGGAAAACTGGATTAAAAAATAGTAGATCGGATCACATCGCCAATCCTGGAGAGAATCAAAACTTTTTCTATGATGACTTCTGTCTTTGCCTAGACACACACTAAAATATTTAAGTGTGGTATGTATTTTATTTTCCCAGTACTTGGTTGTACAGGTCAGTCCTGTTTTGTTCTAATGATAGCAATAATTTATCCTTTGACATTCTAATTTTCCAGTGTATTAGTAACATTTTCTAATGGAATACTCATACAATATTTTAAATTTCTTAAATGTAAACAGTACATTCAGTTGAAATGGATCTTCTGTACCTGGTCAGTTTGTAGTGTAGGCATTGGATCCCTCATGAGGAGCCCTATTTTGACAGATCAACAAGGACTGTGTCCCTAGCACTATAGGAGACACTTGGCTAAAGGGAGTGAAGAGAATACAAGTACATGGGGGTTACTATTGATGGTTACAAGTGCATGCATGTGTGAGTGTGCAGGGTGGCACTAGAATGTTCATCATTTGCTAATCTATGTAAAACAAAAAGTTTATTACATTTGGCCTTTTATGAAGATTTTACCTAAATCCTTATTTAACAGCTTAAAAAGGATATCATTCATCCATACACCTCCAAAAACCTGCCTGGGTAGTCACCTGTTCCTAGATACATTTAAAATAAGAGAAGTAGGAAGAGAGGGAAGATGGCGGCGTAAGAGGACGCTGGGCTCACCGCGCGTCCTGCTGATCACTTAGATTCCACCTACACCTGCCTAAATAACCCAGAAAACCGCCAGAGGATTAGCAGAACAGAGTCCCCGGAGCCAGGCATAGATGAGAGACCCACGGAAGAGGGTAGGAAGGGCGGCGAGGCGGTGCGCGCTCCACGGACTGGCGGGAGGGAGCCAGGGCGAGGGGCGGCTCGCCGGCCAAGCAGAGCCCCCGAGTCTGGCTTGCAAAAAGCGGAGGGGCCTGACGGACTGTGTTCCGACAGCAAGCGCGACTTAGCGTCTGGGAGGTCATAAGTTAACAGCTCTGCTCAGAAAGTGGGAAGGCTGGAGGACAAAGAGAAGGAGAGCTGCTGAGCCCC